GATTATTTCATGATTATTGGTATAAAGGAGCATTATTGAATTTGATATGTTTATCATTTTTAACAAGCTGTTTTGCTGAACTGCTATTGGGTTGATAAAATTTCTTAATTGTTTGAAACTCTTAAATATATACTGATAAACTACCATATTTCATTGAGTGTATAGCATCATCAATTGTAGGATACGTAATTACTTTACATGCTACCAAAAAGAAGGGACATTAACAAACTGTTACAAACTGCTGATTCTGAGATGTATTTCAATTTTGAAGAGGTTGAAATATGAAAAAATAGTAAATCATAGATCATAGATTTCTTGGACTACTACTCAGCCATAAAAAAGAATGAAATAATGCAATCTGCAGCAACATAGATGGACCTAGAGATTATCTAGCTAAGTGAAGTAAGCCAGAAAGAGAAAGACAAATACCATATGATATCATTTGGATGAGGAATCTAAAATATGATACAAATGAGCTTATTTACAAACCAGAAATAGATTCACAGACATATGGTTACCAAAGGGGAAAGGAAGTGGGGAAGGGATAAGTTAGGAGTTTGAGATTAACATACACGCATTACTATATTTAAAATAGATAAACAACAAGGTCCTACTGTATAGCACAGGAAATGATATTCAATATCCTATAATAAACCATAATGGAAAAGAATATGAAAAAAAGTGATTTACTATCAAAAAAATCATAGATTTCTAAATAATGATGATTGCATTTCTTTCTCACCAATACTCACACCTCACTTCTATTTCAGGTCTCAGTATCTTGGCCAGAGCAATAGAAGTAGATGACAGGCATCCTTGTCCTTCACCAGTTTTCACAGAGATATTTATCTGAAAGCATGATGCTAACTTTTGATTAAAATAAGTACTCTTTATCATGTTAGGACAGTATCTTTCTATTCAATGTATTGACATCAGCCAGCTACTAATTTCATAACTTCTACATGTGCTTTTATTTACTTATGATTTTTCTTAATTTGTGTCACTTTTTAAATGTAAATTTAAAAGTAAATTAATTTAAGATTAAGAAGGAAACCTTAATCATTATAGAAGATGGAAAATCAGAATTACCTCTCATAAATGGAAGGTAACCATACATTTTTAAAAAAAAAACACAAAACAATGTTATAAATATTCTATTTATATACTGTTGCCTGCTTAAGGCTCTGAGACTGATGTTAACTCTTTCTTCTTTAAAAAAAAGAAAGATATCAGCAAGTGTCAAAGATACATGCAAAACTGAAACTTTCTCCTGGAAGTAATCAGATTACAAATTGAATTACAAATTGAATTGAAATAATGTTATCACTATAATTAAAACTACATTTGACTCACATATAAAATCATCTATCCAGTGTGTTTTTGAACTTTGTTAGGAAGGTGTTTCACATTTTATCAAATGCTTTTCTGGTATGTGTTAAGGTTACTTTATACTTTTATTTTAGCTGAGCTAACGATTGATATATGTATTATATAAATAAGTTTCTAATATTATGTTATCTTGTAGCAAACCCTGGAGGTGTAAACACACACACACACACATTCATTCTAATATACAGTTGAATCCTATTTTCTAATAGTTTATTTAGGATCTTCCTATTTGTATTTATAACTGTATTGCCAAGGTTTTAGGGACATGTTTTAGCATTTCACAGAAATGAAATCATATAGTATGTACTTTCTGTGACTGACTTCTTTGGTTTTTATAGATTTGGGGGGCATTTTTTTACTTGTACTAAATATATCGTGAAATTTACCATATTAACCATTTTTAAGTGCACAGAAAAGTGGCACTAAGTATACTCACATTGTTGTACCAGAATTTCCTTCCTCTTTAAGGCTAAATGGTATTCCATTGTACTTAAATACCACGTTTTGTTCATTTATTCGTCCATTGATGGACTTCTAGAAACAATGTTTCTAATACTTCTCCCTGTTCCTATAGCAAATCAGTATTAGATAAAGACTTTCTAAAAACTTCTTAGGAGATTATTTTCTTTGTCTCATACTGCAGAAATGTATTCCATAGCTCCCACTTTTTCCCAATTTTGAATTAGGAGGAAAATATGTAGGCCCAGAGTTTGAGGACAGATAAGGTGCTATTTCATTCCCTTACCGTCTAGCTTAGGTCTTAATGGACTCTGCTTCCCTAATATTCTGTGATTTGATACGCACAGGCCTTACTCCAGTTTTTACTGCTTGCCAAGCACTTCTCTTGTGTAGCTCTTTTGAAATGAAATAGAATCACTTCCCAATTCTCTGTTAGAAAGAGGATGTTTATTCTCGAGAATTTAACTGCATTTATTCTTCTTTCAGGACCTTGAATGGTATGTGACAACTTTACCCTTCCCTCAGCTTTTCCTGCTTTTAGGGTTCCTCTACCTCTACCATTACCTGAAATATTTTTTTCATAAGGGTGGTTAATTAAAATTTTATTTCTTTTTTTTCCTAATTCTTTCTTTTAGTATTGTTGAGATATAATTGGCATACAGCACTGTAAAGATTAAGATATTACTTCACCTGAAATTCTGTACCTTTGAGAGGATTACATATGCCAAGGTCTTTATTTTAAGCCTTATAGTGTAGTGGGGATGGCAGAAACTGAGTCAGGTGAGAGGGGCTGTTAATGCCAGGAAGGGGCACTCTGACCGTTCAGAAACCTGTTTCCACACAGTGAATGTCAGGGCTGCCCACCTTTCTCTTTAGCGAAGCTCTGTGTTCCCAGCCTAGGGACTCTCAGTGAAGGGATTTGGGGAAGGTATGCCATAGACTTCCTTCCACATAATTCACATCCATGCTTGCTAGATTCAAAAGATGCTATATGCCTTAGGTAGCAATTCTCTTTCTTAACGTGGCACTATTGAAAATTTAATAATTGAAATACTTCTAGGAATCTCCTTTATGACTTTCATCTTTTACTTCAGGGATTACAGTGCATTTTCACCTTTTTGTACTACTTCATGAATATTTCATGGAAGGTTGGGAGATGGACTATTAAATGCCATTGTTTCTTAGCCACCCCTAAAGTGCAGATCCAAGATTGTTCAGCTTTATATAACCTGGTCATTATAAGACACCCAAGGAAGAGTCTCTTCCCCAGTAGCTTGATACCTTAAATATGAGATTTAAAATAATGCCTTTGTATTAAGTACTTAGCATTTTCAGGCACCTCATAAAAAGCAAATATTCTCCAAAGAGGTGAAACAGGTCAGTATCATCTTGGTTTGATAACTTTGTAAATATTTTCCAAAAGAGTGAATTGGGTCAGTATCATCTTGGTTTGGTAACTTTATTTTTTGTTTGTTTTCTTTTGGGGGAGGGTAATTAGGTTTATTTATTTAGTGGAGGTACTGGGGATTGAACCCAGGACCTTGTGCATGCTAAGCACACCCTCTACCACTGAGCTATACCCTCCCCCTGGTTTGATAACTTAAAGTCATCAAAGCTGGTTTACTCTGACGAGCAAGTTAAGGCGCAAAAACTGGTAACAGCTAATGCTGCATTTTCCAGTATTCAGACAAGCACTCTAAATCAGAAGAGCAGAAACACTTACTGCTCTGAACCTCCCATAGTGCCCCAAGCAATCCCAGAAAAGTCCTCCGTACTTATCTGGACTATCTCAGCTGTTTTACAAGCATCAGAGAAGAACTAGAAAGCACCATCACAGACCCTACTGCTGATCAACCCAGGCTCTTCACTGTACATAGTCTGGTGGCTTTCTATTTTTGTTTTGTTTTGTTTTGCCAATGCAAATGTCAGTTGTAATGACATCTTATAACACAGCCCAACAGGAAAAACAGATAAAAGTGGGCTACTGTGATCGAAGCAGGGAGTAGTACCTGGGTGTCCACCCACTCCGCACTACTTTTGGCCCAGAAAGGGCTCCATGGAATGCCTAGACCTCCGAGTAGCGCAATTTCTAAACCACTGTCCTAGACATCACTAAAGGATGTTTGTGCAAACTGCCCACTGAAGAAGAGTATGAGAAAGGGCATCAAGACATCTCGGCATAACTAAAATGCTTGAGCTCTGACTTCGCGTATTATTTTAAGAATATACTTGATTGGTGTTGTCTCTACTTGGCACTCACAGCCCCTTCCTACTCCAACGACTGGGGCGGCTCCATGGGACCATGTGATTGCCAAGACCTTATTCTTCTGTTATATTCGTTTTACATATTTTTACAAACACCCTTACATTTTTTTTTCTTACATCTAATATCAGGGTGTGGATCCCAATTCTGACCACACTCTGGCCTGTCTCTCCTGCTGATTACAATTACAACTCTGGACAAAACACACAAAAATAATATCTGCATACACTTAAAAGTAAATGAAATCAGGCAGATTGTGGCGTGGAGTCAAAACCTGAAGGAAGGAACAACACATCTGAGGAAGAGTTTTCTAGTTGTCCCCTCTTTTCCTGAGGGCAGGCCCCCAGAACGGAACTGCTCAGCAGCAGTGACACAGGCACCCTAAAAATCTCACCGTCTTGCCCAGAGTAACTGGGAAAAGGGACGTCTGTGGGGTAGCGAGTATCAGAGGAATCCTGGAGAGAAGCGAGCTGGAGAAAAGGATGTCTCAAAACCGTGTACGACACTAGACAAGTCCCTAGTTTACGCCTGAGTGGCATATGCACGGGACAGACGCAAAGCCGCACAGCAGAAACTCTGAGAATCAAGCTAAGAGTTCAACCACCAGCCAGGCCTCAGACTAATCTCTTAGACATGGAGGTGGTTGAACAGCCCCAAGGCAGCATCAGTGAGATTGGAAACTGAACTAAGATTGGAACCACTGCCCGTGGAAAGTGACTTTTATTGTTGTTGTTCCCACAATCTGTTTCTTATTTGTTTATTCACAGAGAACCACCCCCACACTGAGGAGATTACTTGGAGTGGGTCATAACCTGGGGCCTGGAGTCTGAAATCTGAGGTACCCTCCTCCCTCGCTTTGTGGCTTAGGTGGGGTCACAGACCAGGTACTGCTGTGTGTCTTTATTGTCAAAAGGGGAAGGTGACGTAGGCATCATAGCCAAAGAAGCACGTAGCCAATAGGCCCAGCGCCCCTGCAACAATTCTGGAACGATTTTCTCTCTCAACAAGGACAACAATAGAGGTGACCAGGTAGAGGATGGCTGCTGTGAAGGATCGGAAGAAATCACTCCAAGGCCAGTGAATGAATTGTATCTTGGAAGGCAGGTCACACACGTACATGACAACGAAGACAGAAGCAATGATCAATTCAATCACCGACAGAGAGGAATATCCTGACGTGGAGGCACTGAAGAGGGTCAGAATCACCAGGCACAAGATAATCTCAGCAGACAGGAGAATTCCCTTTTGGGTGCACAAGAAGTTGGTGCAGGCGGTCCAGCACCTGGGGGCTGAAGAGCGCTGAGGATCTGCCATGGTGTGGGCTACAGTCCCTGGGGGCCCAGAGGATCTGCTTGCAGGTCTTGTCCAGCTGTCTTGCCCGCCGTCTAGAAAGTGATTTTAAAAAACTTGTAGTCTGTCGCAGACATAGTAAACAATCTTATGGTTACTGGGGAAAGGGAGTGGGAAGGGATAAATTTGGGAGTTTGAGATTTGCAGATGTTAGCCACTACATATAAAAATAGATTAAAAAACAAACAAGTTTCTTCTGTATAGCACAGGGCACTATATTCAATATCTTGTAATAACCTTTAATGAGAAAGAATATAGAAACAAATATATGTATGTATCTGCATGATTGGGACATTGGGCTGTACACCAGAAATCAACAATTGTAACTGATCGTACTTCAGTAAAAAAAATTTTAGTTCAAAAAAAGTCCTTTATCCTTTATCGTCTGCTTTCTATTTTCAACAAGATGATTCAATCTATCCACATTATTTTCAATGAAGCCATGTTCATTTAGAGGCATTTTAAGAATACAAAATATTTCCACAAATATACATGCTAAGTCTTATCTTTTAAAGACTAAATTTGAACAGCTAAGAATCTTTCCTCAGCTATTCCTAAAATACTTTGCCTCTGAATACCAGTCTTCAAGTTTTCAGAATTCATATCCAATCATCACTACAGCTCAAGATGTATGTTTATCTTCTGTTTCAGATAAGCCTGGTTGGAATATAGTCTTACCGTGCAGTCCAGCTCTTGAGACTATGCAAAGCATAGTTTTAAAATCTCTGTACATGTGGTATATGTGTTTTTTGAAATGTGCAAAGTTGACAAAAATAATTAATATACAATAAATTATGTTTTTAAATAATGTACTTAGCATAAATTATACCAATAATTCAAAGACTTTAGTGAGCTTCAGCACCATCATTTTCAACATCATGTGTCAACATGAACATGACTGCTCACAGATGCTACAGGAAATACTGCTGAAAGCATGGCCTGGAAATTTTTTTTAAGTATTTTTGTGGTTGTTGTTCTGTTTGTTTTTTGGGGTTTGTTTATTTATTTATGTATTTAATGGAGGTTCTAGGGATTGAACAAAGGACTACAAGCATGATAGTCGTGCACTGTACCATTGAGCTATATACCCTTTCCCCTAAACTGAAAATTTTGGAAAAAAAAATGTTCTTCAAATCAGCTTGCCCATTTGGAATTCATTTTGATTGGGATTTTCTTTGAAAACATGAAGTGTAGAAATGTTTCAATTATTTGATTACCTCTTTTACAGGCACCCTAAATAAACTGGAGTTTTATGTATTTTTTCACTAAATAGGCAATTAGGAGAGGGAGAATGTATTCATAATGACTAAGAATTGGCATTTGTGAAAGATAAATATACAATCACTAATAAGTAAGTGGACTGTTCACTTCATTATTCTGTTCTCACTATCAAAGTCTAATGACCAGATTTTTAAGTGGAAGCATTCCAAAAGATTAAAAAATTAATTAAACATACTTTTTTTTATAGTTAAGAGACAAATATAGACATTTCACTGATATATTAATTTTAAACTTCATAAACTATGTAAAATAAAATGTCAGATAATGATGTTGAATTTAGCAATAATAGCTATATTTATAATTTTAATGAGTATTTATTTATCAGTGTTTATTAAGCCCCTACTATGTGCCTTGTGCAGTTATCAAATTGTATTTGATCACTTCATTTTAATTATTATAACTCTGACATATTTCCATTGTACAGATAAAGACACTGAGTCTCAGAGTTTGAATTAACTTGTATCAGGAAGCTAGTATATGACACAGAAACATAATTTTGAACAAGGTCTCCGATTTCATAGTCTGTTAATGTGCATGTGTTTATATTATTTGTGTGTATGTGTCTGTCTTAATATACAAGCAAAGGCTCTGTACTATTTTCATTTGTATTGAAAGAGAAAGCTGGGGAAAAAAATTTTCCCTAGAGTGTAAAAGAGAACAAAGAATTTTATATATATATATATATAATTTTTATAATATATAAATATCATATATAATATATAAATAAATATATAATTTTTATATATATTAAAATTTTCAAATGGTTTTCAAAAATATATGGTCATTCTCACAGGTGTATAGTGGTATCTCATTATTATTTTAATTTTCAATTCCCTAATGATGTACGATGTTGAGCATTTTTTGCATATGCTTACTTGCCATCTGTGTATCTTCTTTGGTGAGTTGTCTGTTAAGATCTTTTGCCCATTTTTTAAAAAATCAGATTGTTCATTTTCCTATTGTTGAGTTTTAGGAGTTCTTTGAAAATTCTGGACAACAGTCCTTTATCAGATATTTTGCAAAATATTTGCAAATATTTCCTCCCATTCTGTGACCTGTCTGCTCATTCTGTTGACAGTGTCTTTCTCAGAGTAGAAGTTTTTAACTTCAGTGAAGTCCAACTTATCTATTATTCATTTCATAGATCATGCCTTTGGTATCATCATGTCTAAAAAGTCACCACCATACCCAAAATCATGAATTGTCGCCTATGTTTGTTTTACATTTATTCTCTTTCTCTGTTTGCTTCTCTGTGTTCTTTATCCTACTTTCCAAGGATTACTTGAACATTTTATACAATTCTATTATTATGTACCTATGGTGTGTTTATACATATCACTTGGTATAATTTTTAGGTATTATGTTTTATATATATACAATTTATCACAGTTTCCTGGTGTTGACGATCAGTTTAAAACAGTGTAGAATCCATGCTTCTATTTATATCCCTTTACTGCTCCTTGTTTTTAATATAATTGTCATAAATATTTCCTCCATATGCATTTAAAACCACATCAGGCAGTGAGGCATCATCCCAGGGGGGCCTGACCAAATCAAAGGAGGCTTTAAAAGCAGCAGCAGCATCAGAGGCCACACTCCTGCTGGTCTGTTGCCTGTGGGGGGGTCTTCTAAGACCTGAAAGTCGTCCCCAGACCAACAGATAGCAAGAAAACAGGGATCTCTGTCTTAAAATTGCAGGAAAGTGAATTCTACCAACAACCTGAATGATCTTGGAAGAGGACTCCGAGCCTCAGAAGAGAATCACAGCCCTAGCCAATACCCCTACTTCATTCATTTCAGCCTGGTGAGGCCCTGAGCAGAGGAACCAGCTCACCTTACCTGTTCTCCTGACTCACAAGCACCGTGAGATAAATTTAGCATTGTTTTAAACAGCTACATTTGTGGTGGTTTGTTACACAGCAATAAAAAACGAATACACAGTTCGTGCTTTTGAGCTTTGTTAGGTGAAACCTGAGCAGCTTTGAGTCTAGGGGCAACCTTGTCCCACTATTGAGGCAAAAACTTTCTACCCAATCTCTAAATTATGAGGTTTTCCACTCTGACTATGGGAACAGGAGCCATTTCCATCAATGGATTAATTCCACGGATTATTCCTTTTGATCTTTTTGGTTGTTCTTTCTCCAGCCTCGCGTAGTTTCTTCACGTGAGTGTCTTAATCAGCGTTCAGCTGCAAACTCCAGAAGGAATCTCCTCAGGTCTCTGGAGATTTTGCAGCCTCAGTACTTTTCCTTGCACACAATCCAAGGATAATGGAGCCTCTTGAGACTCCCAGCTCCATCTCTGATTTAGGGAGGCCAGTGGGTCCTGCCTGGGTTCCATCTCCCCGTACTGTGACCTGGAAACTCCAGGTAAGTTGGGACAACCATAGGGCTCATCTCACTTGTTTTCCATCTTGCATGCATTAGTGTCCTGTTACCTGTGTATAATACCTTGAAATCATCACTTCATATATTTGCCTGTTTTTTCAGTTGGCTCAGGTGAGATAATAAATCTGGTTCTGGTTATTCCCTCTTGGCTGGACACAGAATTCCAGTGCCATACTGTGTACTTTTAAATCTTATCTTTGGTTATTGTTTTCTTTCCTCTAGATTACCTGCTTGGTGAACTCCTTCTCATGTCCCAAGGACAGGTCAAATGTTATCTTCCCTGTAAAACCTAATCCCAAACTCCAGAAACAAATAACCATCCCCTCCTTTGTGCTCTCATTGGCCTTATTGTATCATATTTCTACTATAAGATGCATCATATTATACCACAATTGCTTGATCAGGTGTCTGACTTTCCTGTTGGAATGTGAAAGGAAATGATTTTCATTCAATGGACATTGCATATCTCCCAACAAATCAGGCCCATGCTAGGACTAGGACTACGATGATGAAAAGATATGTTCCCTACCATTAAGGAACTCATAGTGTAGAGAGAGGGCATCCTTTTAGGCCAATAAGCAATCACAAAGCCATAAGAGAGCAGTATGTACAAGATGCTGTATGTGCAGAAAGAAACATCACAAAACAGAAGCGTCTGCCAAAACATCATGGAAGTGTTATTCCTCCATCTGAAACTGGAGGACTAAGTAGGAATCTATATAAAGGGCTACTTAAAAGAAATTCTACACTAAGTAAGCAATGGGTCAAAATATAGGGAGAGGTAGAGAACATGGTGTGTCTGGGTAAGGGCAAATCGCTTTAGCATGGCTATTTCAATGCTGTCTTCTTTATGGATCTGCATTTGTAAATGTTCAGAAAAAGTTAACCAGAGTCACTTCATCCCCTGGTATCTCCTGAATGCTGTTTGTATGCAATGGTCTGCTAGACTCCTGGGCTGTGATGATGAGCAAAAAGAGATCCAGTCCCTGCCTTTGTAACTAAGGTCCAACATCAACTGCTGTATTGCCTAATACAGAATGTGTACCTAGAATAAAACAGCATCCCATTATCTGATCAAGGCAGGCCCGGTGGTTCTTATGATGCAAACATGTGAAGCAGAAATTCCAAGTTGGATTTTTTTCAGCACTTTATGAGTCCACTTCTCATCGCTAGCAGCCTCAAGCATCTGCTCTGTGCTCAGGGAATGCACACTAATGCTAGTTTTAGCTTCATCAGCACATAGGAACAAAGGGCAGAAGGAAGAAAAGAGGAAGGAAGGCAAGTTGGCTGCCCTCAAAGGCAATTAAAACATTTTTTAACCTCCTGTTTCTGCATTATCCATGCTATTCTTTTTATTGGTCCATTAT